ATTTGTGGTCTGCTTTCAGATGTTTTTTTTTCGATTTTCCGCTGTCAGCAAGTCTCACTCTAACTTTATCTAAAATTAATTCAGAAAAAAAATTTCGTGGTCGTTAGCGATCATTGAACTTTTTGTTTCCTCCCGAAATGCGATTCACTTGAAGTCATTCCAATTACTGAATTGTTTGTTGTTTGAACGACTTCTATAATCATTTTTAAAGCTGATTGAATATCTGGGGGGGGGGGGGGGGGGGGAGGAAGGGGGGCATTGAGTTTTTTGTTTCCTCCCGAAATGTGACTCACAGTAAAACTGTAATCAAATTGTAAGATCCCCTTTTTTATTTTGACAGTTTGAATAGTGCACTCCACATATCCACATTATCAGAGGTTGCCAACCAGACAAGTTACATAAAATTTTTGATTAAGTTTGCCGTCTATTAAATTTAAAACCTGAATACTGTTCAGTTCTGATACTTTTTGGTTAGTTTTGCGTCACAATTACAAGTCACCTAAAAATTGAAACAAAAGTTTCAGCTCCCGCTGATTTTTTAGCGAAAAACTTAAAATTTAGTTAGGAAAATTGGGCGATAAATCTCATTTTGTAATTCTAATTCCCTATACCGTCTGACAGGAACCGGCATTATCCAAACTGATGTTTTTCATTGGGAGCGCTGAGAAAAGGTTCAGGCGAGTTGATTGAGCTCATTGGTTTTTAGTTTTTTTCCAAAACTGGTTCTTTTTTTTGCAGTTTTTGTACGAATTGACGATATCTCTGTGGTTTTTAACTACCTAATCTAGTGCGCTGCATTGACCATTGCCTCTTATTTTGGGCGAGGTTTGTGCATGCAGGATAAAACAGCCCGTGGTTTATGATGCATCCATCCGCTACCATTGTAAGGTTTTATCCTGGCAACTCTTTCATAAACCTTGCTTCTTATTGATGCCGTCGTTTGTTTATGGGTTTATTCTTCCTTTTTCAAACTCAATATCTAAAAATACGAGTATACAAGTCCAGTATCCGGAACAAGTCTCAATCTGTGCAGTTCCACTGTACGGGTAGATATTTCCTCTCTTCCGCCACTATTTTCATTCCAATTGAGATTTTGCTGATTTGTTCTTGTCTTCTGTTTGCTTTAATCAGAAATTCAGAAATCTTGTCTTCTGTTTGCTTTAATCCGTTGTCTAAGCATGTGTTCGATGGCTGTGGCGTAATTAGTACTTCTTGTCCGCCCAACTTCAGCTGAAGACATCCTTCTGGGTCGCATGACGCCTTGTCTCTGAGCTGGTCTAGATCGATCAGGCCGAGGATTTCGAACTTCTTTGAAATCATTGAAATACCTTTGAAATCTGGTGTCCATCACTGTTTTTCCATTATTTAAGAATTCCAAATATCTAAGATAGTGCAGTAATTGAATATTGTTAAAAGATATTAACTAGACAAAATTGACAGAACGATACAATTGATTTCGACATCAAACATTTATGAGGAGAAGCCTGTTGAGTTACATTGAAAAGATAAATGATCTTAGTTTGTGGCATAAACATGATAGAAGTTAAAACCGATCGGTTGGATTCAGTGAAAAAATATATAAAAGATCTGTTTTGGTGTAGATTCATAAAGTGGACTCGGTTTTGATTGGCTCAAAATTGTGCATAAACTATAGACGCTTTTTGCGGTATAAATTTTTAGGGCGTGCTTCATTCTGATTGTCAAGAATTAGCGCAATGATTGTGTTAATGATATGAACAAGAAATGGAGTTCAGAGTCTTTTTCACTCTTTCTCGCACTATTTGTCGATGATTTAACAAGCAAGAAAAAAATTTTCATCAATTTTAATACCCAAATTGCCGATTAAATTTTGAAGGCTGGGGTGCTTCAAATGAGGGTTGAAGCCATGGTTAGTCCACTTATCTCGATTTAGCTTCAGCCAGATTTTGTACCTCAAATTTGAACGTTAATAGTCTGCGTGCTCATCTGGTAAGGCGAGATCGATATGAGTTGTCTCTTCTGATTGTCTTTATGGAAGAAAACTAATTTTGAGTTGATCAGAACATCGAATTTATTTCCTAAAAGGCAGTTCCGGAAATGTTTACAGGACCACACAGGGGGCAAGAAATTTTAAATCATTGGAGCTATAATTTTTGTCCTGTACACTCAACAGCTTCAGCCAGATGTTGTACCTCAAATTTGAACGTTAATAGTCTGCGTGCTCATCTGGTAAGGCGAGATCGATATGAGTTGTCTCTTCTGATTGTCTTTATGGAAGAAAACTAATTTTGAGTTGATCAGAACATCGAATTTATTTCCTAAAAGGCAGTTCCGGAAATGTTTACAGGACCACACAGGGGGCAAGAAATTTTAAATCATTGGAGCTATAATTTTTGTCCTGTACACTCAAAAATTGGAAATCAGTGAAATAGGCAGAGAGCTACCGTCTGATACTTCATAATGTAGAACTGCTCCTGGACCAATGCGACTTGAGTCAAAATTTAGCTAAGCTAACATTTACTCTTTTGGTCACAATGGAACAAATTTGTGATGTAAGAAATGAAGTTGCTTGTGTCCTCAAATCAGTTTGGCTGATCTGAGCCCAAACTAATGTCTGCTTGTCGCTCATGTTCAAAGACGGTCTAATTTGTTCTGTGTAAGCTTGTAGATGCGGTAAAAAGTTCTGGATATGAATGAGTATGCTCATGAAGGAACGAACTTGTTTCAATGTGCGGGGAGTCATAGAATGCAAATTATCTTGCACTTTTGATAATCTAGGTTGATATATCGGTTGTAATTATCAAAATCCAGCCACGATGTTAGGTTTACAGAAAACTTTGCATTTCAAAATTTGAGAATGACACCAACCCTGTCCAATTTACTGAAAAGATCAAAATATTTTTGACCGTTTAATTTTATACATCTATGGATCTTTTGGACACGATGAGTATATCACCTAAAAACATATTGCGCCATTGTAATAGGATGTCAATTGCTTTCGAAACTCATTGGCCATATTGTTGAGACCGTAATAACAGTTTTGAAACAATAATTATATTCCCAACATACAAAAACATTTTACAGTGCCTACCGAATAAATTACTGAACAAAAACTGGCTTAAGATGTATTTCAGATTGAAAGATTGGACACAACATTTAGCGGTTCAAAGTAAAGACTTTCCCACAGAGGTATCATGGTTTGACTTCTATCGGCTGATTTTGATTCAGTTGGTTTTTTTCAAATTACCCCATGAATTTTGGGCCCAATTTGTTTAACTTCAAAGACTTTCTTCCCTGAACCGAAAATTTAACTCTTGTTTCATTCCAAGTAAATTTTAATAGTTCTGATCTGAATTAAAATTTGGTTGATTTACGGCTCTTGAGTGACTCAAATGTTTCTGTAGAGCTGAAAGTGCAACATAAATTTTCTTTTGAAGACGGGCTGATTTCAGTATTTTCTCAAGTGCATTTCCTGGTTGGATACCAAGATCGCGCTAAAAATCTTCAAAGATCATTTTTGTTGGAAATTGATAGCTGCGATATCTGCAGGCGCACAGCTTTGTCAGAATCTTCTGTTATCTTTTGCTTCCTCTGTTCCCAACAAGAAGAACAGATGAGATCTGATTCTATGGTCGGCTTCGTTGAAGAATACATTTGGTCCAAATTTTCTCCTTTTTTCATTTAGTTAGTTTGTTTTTGATATTTCTTGAGGTGGCTCTCCGGGCTGCACCACAAAAATATTCGCAACTAACAGTCTCTAGTTTTTTCAATTAAAGATTAGTTTGGCGCCAACTGGTAGTATCTCTTCGTATAGACTTTATCAACAGTCGGTAATTTGCAATTTTTGTCAATTTTTCACTAAAATTTGTGGGATCATGCTAACTTCTGAAAACTTTTTAATGATTTAAAATTATAAGATGAGTTTGGCTACATGTGGCTTAATATTTTCTTAGGGACTGTAACATCCGTCGGGAATGTGGGAAATTTTGGTCAACACTTGAATGATTCATCCTGCATGTGTGGCGATGCAACAAAGTTTTTCTCATCGCCTCTTTTTAGTTTCCTTACCTTTTTCACTTCTTTAAGAAGTGTTGATGCAATTCTATTGATCGCCTTTGGGGGATCAATTGGGGATCCAGTGGACTCTTTATTAACAATTTACCTTTATGACAGATCCCTCAAGTTCCATTGCTTTTTCAAATACCATATTTATAGCTGAATTTGGTTCCAAAATTTATTGCTGCTTTTTCATCGAGAAGATTGGGCTATAAAACAGTTTCTTTTATACGCCTGAAGTGTTAAATTTCAATAACAAAATCCTCCTGAGTATTTCGCAGACTTCTCAGAGTTGACTTTTAGGGACTTAGGATTCCTCTCAGTCATGTAACAAGTCTGTTAATTACGGTCGTTATGGTGTGTAAGGGAGGATGATGTTGGTAGGGAGGGCACTGAATGATGCTGGTTCTGAATGCGGAATGACGCTGAATGATAGTTAGTGGTACCCAATCAGTCTGAAAAAAAAAGAAATTTTTCTTTTGAAAAACATAGCTGATGCAAATTTTAGTGATCAGAGATGAAAAAGTGGGCCGTTCTAATCTGTTCAATATTTGCCGAAACTCCACAACAAAAATTTCAAAAAAACATAGTATTGGTTCCAGAGAGGCAAGTCCACCAAAAATAGGCCAAAAAACAGCAAAGTCTGATGACCTAAAAATACAGAATTGTGGGGGTATAATTTTAAAAATGGGAATTGACGGCGAACCAAAAATGGGAGTTTTTTTAGCTTTTGTAGAGTGGAAAAATGTGAGCACAGCTCAACTAAAAACACGCCTTCTCTTTTTTTGATTGGCTTGTTTTTACCAAATTTATTCACCTTTTCTGCCTCTAATTGTGACTTATGGAGGAACAAATTATATCATCAAAGTTTTTCACGTTTCCCGCGAAATTAATCACGCTTGTTTAATATGGTCTGATATGATTACCAGTGAGGTGAGAAATATAGACTAGTATTATTCCTTCCTTTTGGGTCCACTGGGATCACTTTTAATTAGAGCCCTTTCTTCTGCAAATGATTTCAAAAGACATCAATCATAGCTTATTATCAACAGCAGCTCTTCATATTTTCCCATAAATCTCTCTGAAAAGTTTTATCACGGCCAACATTTTATTCTTCTACAATGGTTTTTCAAGTAAGTATTAAAAAAACTTGAGCCAAGATTAGTTTCTTTGGATATTTAGATTTGCTTCTATAGGATTTTTTAGTGAATTTAATCTGCCATGAGTTCCGACGACGATTCATTGGATTTTGTTTGGCAAAGGATTTTAAAAGGGTTATAAATTGAGTTAACGAGTTCAAAATAACAGAAAGCCAACAAAAAATACTTCAAAAATCTTAAATAGCCAAAGCAGACAGGACACCTCGTATCAAAGCGGAGAGATAGCGTTCCGATTGCCCTTCAGGGTATCTGAAATAGTTTTTAATGGAAAAAAAAACGTTGTAATTTTTTTCAACTTTTCCCCCGCATGCACACAATGTGCAAAATGATAGCTAGTACCGCGTTATATACACCGACAAGACTTTTCTTATCGGAGCAAAAATTTTAATGTTCCGACTGCCTTTCATCCAATCTTTTCTTCACACCACCCATTCTTCTTAACACCATTCACACAAATGATTCAATTTTAAACTTTCAACGCAATGGTCTTCAAGCTTAAAAAGTGATGGCAGGTATGAAATTTTTTTGTTCCGACTTTCGTAACGAAGGTAACGGAATATTTGTGCTCGGGTGGGTTTTTTCTTCAGACAAATGTCGACTTTTTAATTGGCCATTTTTGACGAATTTTTTACATCATTCAAAAGGTATTGTTGTTTTGAGCTTAAATTTGAAAAGATATTTTACCTGCGGCCGTTTTTCGTAGTGTTACGCGGGTTTAAAGATGGTCATTTTTGCCAATTTGAGACAATTAACCCGCGATATATTTTGTGCTATTAACGCGTATTAATGCTATTAATTCGTCTTAGAAATAGTTCCAAATTGGCTGAAAGAAGCTTAATTGCCATAATTGATTTGTTACAAGGAGCGAAATCTATCCTTTTGTACTTTGTACATGGCGTGTGGGGGATTGATTTTTACAGAAAATCTCAATTTTTTAAAAAGAACTTTTCATTTTCTTAAATTAAATTTAAATTTTTTATGTTATAACTGCTCCATACAGCTTATAAGACAGTCAGAACATTCAGGGCTTCGTTATAATTTAAGCTGAAGTTAGAATTTGCATATTTCCAATACATCGGCTGCACATAAATTCTCTCAAAGATCGCCTGAAAAAGTCATCTGGAGGAAAAAACCGCGACAGTACATTCTGTCATTTTACTCAAAAGTTGATCAAAAAGCACCAGAAAATTGCTACCAAATACTAATACTACTCGTATCAGGCAGAAGCCCTGAAACTTCCGACTGCCTTTTAAAGTCTATGGAGCAGTAATCACATTATAAAAATAATGGTGAAAAAAAGTAAAATTAATATATGTTTTTTTAAATCTGAGATTTTTTGTGAAAAACATCGCCCCATATCTCATATAAAATACAAAAAGATAGATTGCGCTCCTAGTAAAAATTCATTTCTGGCAAACAAGTTTGCTTCTGCCAATTCGGAACAATTTATAAGACGGATTAAATCTCCGCTTACGCGTTAATAGCACGAAATATTTGGCGATCTTTAAACCCCCATAACTTTACGAAAAAAGATCTAAGGTAAAATATCTTTTCAAATTTAAGCTCAAGACAACAATATTTTTTGAAGGACATTTAAAAAGTCTACCAAAAGTGGCTAATTAAAAAGGCGAATTTCGTCTGAAGAAAAAAACTCACCCCGAGCACAAATACTCCGTTACTTTTGTTATGAAAGTCAGAGCAATTACAAAAATGGACCTTTTTCCTCCAAAGTTTAATTCCTTGTAATTTCGAATTTTAAAAACTGGCGAAATATACCGTTTTTTTAGCTGTACGTTTCTGAAAAATTTGTCTAAAAACACAGAAGCTCAAGTTAGGATTAAAAGGATTTCAACGAGGTCAATAACTTAAACTGTTT